ATGCCTGAAATTGAAGCTCAAGATCTCGGAGACATTTAATTTCAACAAGACGGCGCCAGTTCCTATTGGATTCAATGGGTGGACCATCTGAGATGTAGCCGCAGCCAACATTGGAAAGATATAATCTTCAAACATGTAAGGAAGTGCAAAGTTCGTGTGCAACCGCACATTTCATACTCTTGCAACTTGCACGAATCAAAGTCAGGAAAATACTTTAAGGTCTAAAACAAATCATATAAAGTAAAGTCAGCCTGATATTAGTTATATAGGGGCTAGACCAAGTTTTCGCTCAAACTTGTCTATTTATATTTTAGGCACAAAGATACATTGTTATGAATAAAACACGTTCTCTTATTTTCATTGGGATAACTCACATATTGGCCGATATATGCGCTACAAAGTCATCGGAAGTTTGAATTAAGTATATGGGGGCTAAGGGAAGTATAGGTCTGATTCAACCCATTYTTTAAGAGAAAGAATACCCCTTAATTTCCAAAGATTTCTAAGGAAATRTTGAACGATGGAATGAATGAAAGTTGAATGGTCTTCAAATACGACAAATAGTGCAGGATTTTATGAAAATTATGAGTGTAATGGAATGCGAATCGTGGGAGTACATGGTGTTGATAGGGAAAATTTTATAGGTTACAATAAAGCAGCAAATTATGAAAAAATTGTGCAAAATGTATTGAAAAATGTTTAAACTCTTTGAGCACATATGGGTATCAAGTGAAACTATCTGTATAATATTTTGGTAAATTTTAATTTAAACAGTTATAGTAAGGGGAAAATAAGAGCGGTTCAAAAAAGACATAAAACTGATGGAAGAAACGTAATAAGGTTCATGGAATCGATACTTGATGATATATTACTGCTGGTCCTTAAAAAATACTGTCAACTGGAAAATTATAAAAGAAATTTTCATAGCTAAAACATATGTTTTCTGCACTGTACTTATATTACGTTATTTGTTCTTGAATTGTTGGCCAAAAACAATACTGCAACGATCCCCAGTCTTCATATTCGCCAGATATGGCTCCGTGTGGCTTTCTCCTATTCCCAAAAATAAAAAGAACCCTAAAGGTCCGTCATTTTACAAGATAGATGAAAATCGGGGGCAAACAAGACATGCGCCGATAGTTTTCAAAAAATGTATAGTGATATAACGTGCTTTTCAGATATTGATTATACTTGGTATGACCTTAATTTTGGCGAATAATATCAAGATCAATAACTAAAAACCGAGAATTAACTGCCAGATAATGGACTTGGCTGTCTTGATTGTATTTGTATGTACAAAAATATTGTATGGAAACTTCGGACAATCCCTTAAATGAATCATTTAGAAATATTTTCACATAGTCAAACATACATAAATGAATCTTTTGCTACATACTTGCTTATTTAAGCAGCTGTCGGAAAATACTATTTAAAGCTACCTTTAAGCCGATTAAAGTTCGTGAAAGTACACTTAAATCATCATAACTGCATTTTACTGGGAGATATTTGTAACTCTTAGGAATATGAGATATTATTACAACTAACTTTGGTCCAAATTAGTCGAATAATGCAGAAGTAGGCGATAATATCATCCAATTCCATATAGAAATGTTCAGAAAGGAAATCATAAGTCCATCTATCATTCTGGTTGACTATTTGTCCGTTTGACATCAAAATATTAGCTGAGCTTCGATAATTTCACTCAAACCCTGATAGTTCCTATACAATTGATATATTCGATCGGTATTTTATAAATTATTCGCAAAACAAAACTTCAGATTGGTCTTGGCATTTGAACATCATCTACGTAAACAGTCACCTTTCCAACCGATAGGACAATGTTTGCCCTTTCCTGAATAGGTTCGTCGAACACTCCTTGACCTACTGTGTCAGTGCAGATATGTCTACACTGGATCATGGAATTCATCTTCCGTGATAGCCAGTTCCGCGCACACACCAGCTTCCACACTCGACTCAATTTTGGCGCCATCGAGTGGGTATGCTATGTACTTATCGCAATGCCTAGGTATACCTATATATATAATATAACGGGTGATACAAGTAGAGATACTTAGTCTTTTTTTGACAGATCACGCGTGAGTCGTGTCAAGCTGTCATGTTGTTTTTATTCAGTATTGTTTGGCATTTAATCGTGGAAGAAAAGCCTCAACAAAGTTTACAAATTTATTACGAAAAATCAACTATAAAGAATGTATTTCGCGTGCTTTGCCTTTAGGAGAAATAGCAAACTGAGCAGATTCAAGAGCTGCCATTTCATCCAGAAAACACAAGGGTTTTGTGCAGTTTATGGGCCGGTGGAATCATCGACGCGTGATTTCGCCGACATTTGGTTTCGGCAAGAAGGCACCAGTTCCTATTGGACTCAACGGATGGACCATCTGAGACATTTGAAAGAAATATTCTTCAAAAAATAAATTCCAAAGAATATTATTTCAATTGATAATAACCTCGAAATGGATCACCCTTTCTATACTTTGATGTGTTCTCTTTATACAAAACCAAACATATCGTCGAATAGATTTCACAGAAGCTCTCAACAAATKTGTGAGTAAGTCTCAGCTTAATACATCGGATCGAACTCATTCGCACACTTTTAGTATCGCAATGGATATGTTATGCTTAAGAACGAATTAACTGTAATTAAACAAAGAAATAAGTAAAATAAGTTTAAAATTAAGARAATACATAAAAAAATTAAAAATGATCCGAAACAGTGTGGAAATGGTTCGAAGGTGTTGCTCTTGCGGTTCAGTGCCCGATAATAGAGGTGAAGGAGAAAWAGAAGAAGAGGACTTTAATGAACGGAAGATTAATGAAGAATTAGAAAGATACTTTATAGAGTTGAACAGCGCTAAAAAGTTACTCTTGCTAGGTAAGCGAAACTGTCAAATATCACATATAACGTGCTTAGTGTGTAGTTATTATGTAGAAAAAAATCTATAAAAATATTACGATAAAAAGAGTGTGCTCAAGGTTATATGTTAAATGCATTTGTATTTATAAGTACTAACCATGTACCTACATGTTTTGTTTATATGATTCATATGGGAAATATTCAAGCATGGTGATAAGAACTATAAAAAAAACCAAAACAATCGGGCATTTATGTATAAAAACAAAATAGTGTTGCTGGAATTCTGAAATTGTAATTAAAAAAAAATCAAAACATAGATTAATAATTTTAAAAACGTTGTAGTTGCACTAAATCTCTCTACAGTAGTAAGTAACTATGTAAGTGTTGTCATTGSGGTCATCTAATGAAAACAAGCCTTTACAATAAGGTCGAATTATAGGAGAGAGTATTAGAAGAGGAAAAATTTCAAATCCACCTTCTAATATCAAATTCTACTAAAAAGAAAAAACATACATTTTATAACAATAAGACAGTAAATATATTTGTAAAGAAAGAAAAAGAAACAGACACCACAATTTTACACCATTCGTAAGCCGAATTCCGCGAATTTAAACGTATTTTTATACACTGTACTCACTACCTTCCTACTACATGTGAGGCAAATTTTTATACTCTGCGTGGGTTGCCTTTTATATTTCGGGATTACTGGCAACTCAGTATGTCATTTGTTTTGTTTACACTAACTTAAAATATTCATTTTGGTGAAGAGTGGAATTAAATTGCGAACATTTTCACGCGTTTATTTTTTATAACTTGCGACGTGGATTATCCCAGCATCAGTGCATCAATGAACTTAAATACATTTTTAGCGAGGAGTAGTGTTTATCGATGATATAATGAATCCAATTGAGGTCATAAATAACTCCAAGACGAATTTCGGGAAGGTCGTCCAAAATCAGTCATGGTTGCCCATAATTCAGCATAATAGAGTCTCGTGATCCTACTCCAGGTAGTCGATATACATATCACACTTCAGAATTTGCTTAAACAGCGTCAAACAATGCTGCGAAGTGGTCTCACGTTTGCACTTCTGGACTGAACTAACGCGGCACCTATCGCGTCTACAAGTTCATGCTCAATTTTCATTCAGGTTATGACTCCAGCACTATTTTGCTGCTATCTACTGCCTTAGCTTTCTCACGCAACTTTAAAAGGCGGTCTCCAATATAATGTTGTGGACTTCTGATCTGTTATCATCGGCTAAAAACTGAGGTTCAAGCACCGGTCTGCGTCTACGTGTTGGTAGTCGTCCAACGTACCCGACTTTTTATTTTGATTTTTATTCACTACTCACTCTATTGCTTTTTTCAATTATTCAATCTTTTTATAGGTACTGGCGAGGCAGGAAAATCCACTTTCTTCAAACAAATGCACATCAATTACGGCGGAGGTTTTTCACCTGAAGCTCGTCTGGAATATAAGCGAGTCATACATCAGAATATTCTGACAGCGATGCAGTCGATGCTGAATGCCATGAATGTGTTGAGAATACCATACGATAAAATAGAAAATGCGGTAAGCATAATATGCGTTTTTCATGTTTTGAGTCCATATAACCTAACTTTTTTGTACATAATTATTCAAATTGTAATTTTTTAATGACTTTCTTATTGATTTTTTTCCTCCCAACAGCTGATGGCAAATAGCATTTTGATCGCCAATGTTGACGCCATAACAGAATTGGACGAGATGATTTTGTCAGCCATAAAATGTCTGTGGGCCGATACGGGCGTACAACAATGCTATGAACGACGAAGGGAATATCAGATAATTGATTCGGCGAAATAGTAGGTTTACTATTAATAAATGTATCCTGAAATTGAACTTTGATCCACTAACTTACAATATATGTATATTTTAACGCAGTTTCCTTGACATGTTGGATCGTGTCACACAGCCCGATTACGTTCCCACAGATGATCACATATTGCATTCACGTGTGGTTACAACTGAAATAGTGGAGCACGTTTTCGATACAAATAAAATGAAACGTACTAGTAACAAACGACCGTTACTACGGTAAATGTGATACAYTTYCGATTGTCTAAAGTATACATATGTATAAGAAAATAATCATAACTCTCTACYCTGCTGCTTCTCTTTGCAGAGTAATAGATGTTGGTGGACAACGATCTGAACGACGAAAATGGTTACAGTGTTTCGATGATGTGACAGCTCTCATATTTCTAACATCGCTCTCAGAATACGATCAGACATTAAGCGAAGCCAAAGGTTTGGTAAGTGAAACGCAAGTTTTGAATTATTTTACTTGAAGTAAAAAGTCTATTTTAAAGCTGCTTTTGACAGCACGCAAAGAAGCCGGTAGATTTGCTTTCTCCAGGTTGAGAAAACAAGCGAAGCGAATGGGTCTGGTAGTGAACGAGGGCAGGACAAAATATGTATCTTCTGTTATCAAACGAACAGTCGTTGCATTCGCAACTTGGCTCCTACGTCATAACTACAAAGTCGTAGATAATTTCGTCTATCTTAGAACCAGCATTAACACCAACAGCAACGTCAACCTCAAAATCCAACGCAGAACAACTGTTATCAAAGGTGACGCTTCGGACAATTAAGAAGTAAAGTCTGTTCTTGATGAACAAATATCAAATATTTACAAGTCGCATCTCCATTCTGCTATATTCGGAAGGTTTATGGTTATTTGCGCATTGGCAAAGGCGAATAACGCAGGCGATGTAAAGATGAACTGTACGAGATGTATGACGACATTGATAGAGTTCAGCGAGTTAAGAGACAGCGGCTACGCCGGCAAGGTCATATCGTCCGAATGGATGAAAATAGCGGCCACGCTGACGAAGTAAGCAGAGGAAGAGAAAGACCTCCATTTCGTTGGAAAGACCAGGGGGGAATGACGCGTCTACACATGGAATCTCCAATTGGCGCCAAATAGCGAATATCGATAACTACTGACGCGCTGTTGTAAACTCGACTCCGAGTAAGAAGAGCGCCATAAAGTAGAAGAGAAAAGTTATCAAATTGACAAGGACTACGACTGAGTCGTTTTTTAAATTTAAATAAATACCGTTACATCGGGAAGCGGGGAAAAATGAAGAACCAATAGAAATATGTGAAGAACTTCTGAAATTAAAAAATCTGAACTTTTAATGCCCTCACTAACATTATCTCGTTCCACCTAACCCTCCGCTTTTCTGGGTTACAATCAGGAAGACTCACTATTGACTAAAATTCAGTCCTGACGCCCGATATTTTCCTTGTCAGGAACTTTTTAACGCTTTATGCCCAGACATTCTTACAAACGGTCGGGATTTCTTATTGCTGTGCTGTTGAGACTATTAGATAGTCGGCAGATACGTTAGGACTATTGAGGATTCGATTTTTTAATTCAGAAGTTTTGGTGAACTTATGTATTCCCCTTACAAAACTACCTTCATATACCAATATTCTTAAGAAGTAGTTCTTTATCAATAAATAATAATAACGGAGTAACTTTTTTGGTTTGTTTTACAGAGTCGCATGGAGGAATCCAAGAGCCTCTTTCGCGCCATTTTATCAACTAGCTATTTTCGTTCATCTTCGATTATTCTATTTTTAAATAAACAAGATTTACTGGAAGAGAAAATAATGACCTCACACTTAGTGGACTACTATCCGGAGTATGAAGGTATGCATGTCTTTGGAGTCTATTGTTTATATAAATGTAGCCTAAAAAGGGATTACTATGCTAACTATAGTGGCCGTTCTTGCAAGCTGTAGCTTGGGTAAAAATGAGATATTGAAATTTGGTACTTCACGTGCAAAACGTCAGCGGTATTTCCCTGGCTTTGCAAGACTATAAAATGTTCGGTTGCACCCGAACTTATTTGTTTTATTCAACATAGTTTTTTCAAGGGTGGTACGGTGTGTCCTTGGCTTCAAAATAGGACTCAGTTTCGGCGATCCTCTCTTCATTCGGCATAAAATAATCGCTGGGGGCCAGAGAAGTGAAGAAGTGTAAAATATGATAGATGAGGGAGAGAGCGATTCGAAGACCAATTCTTATATTTTTGCCATAGTTTTCATTTACTTATGACACGATGCATTGGGCTTAGTGAAACAGTACTTTCTTTTTCTTTAAATCCGGCCGTTTTTCAGCATTTTCGTCCTTCATACGGTCCAATAATCGTATTTAAAAGCAGCTGTTGATGGTCCTTCCTTTTTCAAAGCAGTGAATAAAAGCCATAACCTTTTCATCCAGCTGTTGCGTTTTTCCCCGCTTAGGGGGGATTCATCATATGCAGTACACTCGGATGACTGTCGACTGAACTTCTAAGGTAATGATTGAGCCATGTTTCATCCATTGTCACATATCGACACAAAAACTTGGGTTCCTTACGCCACATCTCCAAACACTGCTCCGAACCATTCACTCGTTGTTTTTAGTCAAATGTGAGCCTGCGCGATCCCACTTTGTACAGAGCTTCCGCACACCGAAATATTCGTGAATGATTTGGTGATCTTTAGAGTCGCAGCTATTTTCAACAACTTCACTTTACGGCCATCCATAATTATTTTCTGAACTATTTTGGACTGAAGATGTATGTAGGTGCTTAACCACCCATTTCCAACTAATTTTAACATCTGAAGTTCAATAAAATGCCTTTAATATATATTTTCATACGTCAAATTATCATACATAAAAATGTTAGTTGAAAATTTCATAACTTCTTTGAAAACTGTCATTTCAGGTCCCAACCAGAATGCGGGCAGTGCAAAACATTTCATACGCCAAATGTTTGAGGCATTGGTGGATAAAAACCGTAAAATTTATCCACATTATACATGCGCCACTGGTAAGTATATATGTATGTAAAATTTTAGGTACATTTAGACCAAGCTGGAGCCCTCCCTAACTTAGATATATTATTCGGGAAGTAAAAGACAAAGAAATCGAATTTCCTTTTTTCAGAATTGTACTGTATTGGAGAATGTAAACATTTGTATCCCCAAAATCAGGTATTTCACGTTCCTCTGCGTGCACATTGATTCTAAGAGCGTATACATATACAGGCAGACAGTTGGACATCATTTATATAAATACTTTATAGGGTATCCGACATTTTCCTCTATGTGTTACAAACTTCGGGACAAATTCAATATGCCCAGTTTAAGGGTATCAAAAAGTTGCAATAATAATAAAAAATCTTAGGTTATCTACTTGATAATGTATATATTCGTGAGATAATCTCCTAGTACTATCGTTGCTGATTTGAAAAGTGCAATTTCGACAAAAACTCGTTTAAAGTTTTACAACAGCACTTCGGCATTGCAGCGGATGGGACAAAAAAAAACGTTTTTCTCACTTTTCTACCAATAGAATAATATTGTTAGGACGGTAGGGGGTACTTTAAGACAAAAACAAAATATTTCCACTCTTTTTTTAAATGGTCTAATCACTTAATGTGGGACTCGTAGTGAGCACTACAATGTTTAGCTCTACATTTTACTACTGAATATATTTAAATACATATTAAGGTGTCCGTTATTTTCCAAGTAGATTTGGTGGGGTCTCTCTTTTTGTGGATTGGACCTGCTTTTGTCTGACCATATTCTACAAAAAAGCTGATGCCATGCTCTTTTTCAATTCTTCGCCGCCGTATTTAAATAGCTCTGCCGGCAATTCATCGCCCCACTGCGCTTTGTTGTTCTTCAAACGGCTAATTGATATTCGAACTTCTTAAAATGCCGTTCGACAGTTAACTTATACCGAGTGGTTGACGAGTGCTCTGAGAGAGTAGAAAATCGTTCGGCTGACTGTTATTATTGTAGCTTTTCGATGTCGAACCTTCCTTGTGTTTGTTGACGTGCGCCGAGATCTGCTGCACAGAGGCGGGTGCGTACTTGACTGCAACAAGATAGTGATCCGAGTCAATGTTAGGGCAACGGCACGTACGCACGTCTAAAACACTGGAGACGTGTCTTCCATCTATCACAACATGATCGATCTGGTTGATGGCATTTCGATCCGTAGACAGCCATGTACAGACCATTTTTCGGGCATTAAAGAACTACTTCGTTGACTTTATATTCTGAAACGTGATTTTACCATAAAATGGCTTAACTATGTGAGCAATAATGTATTTCAAATGACCTGAGCATTCATACAAGTGATTTATACATTCTGTGTTGCTCATACGACATGGTGTACTAATATGAGTACAGTACATTTCATGCGTATAACTTTTAAAGAAATATTTTTATGAAAAAATATTAATTTATGTTAATAATAAATTTATTCGATCAAGCAAGTTTCAAGCACTTTGATTTGACTGAGATGGTATGTAATAAAAAATCTATGAAAATTCCATATAGCCTCACTTAAAAAGTCGAATATCTCGAGAAGTATTAATGATAGCGCTTTTGACCTCAGACCTTATTTGTAGCAAATAAAATTTCCTAGAAGTTTGTCATGTACATTTCTTTCTATAGCTCTTGTCATTTACAATATATATACAAAAAATACGGACTTCGTGGAAAAGTTTAGGTTTAGAGTCCCGTACTACCTCGCCGGTGTGAGTTACGACTTTGTTGCACTGTGCACTTTTGTAGAGTGAACAATTCTGAGGAATATGTGTCTAAAGTCAAAGCGATGCCATAAAATGCCTCTTACCTATAGAAATTTAAAGATAAAAAATCACGATTTTCCTGTATTTTCTGTGGAAAATTTTTACATGCCTTTTTTCAGCCCTTAATCTTAATATTTAGGGCTTAAATTTTCAGGGATTTTTTTTTTTGATATTTCCAAGGAAATTTCATAATGGGTTTGGAAAAAATGAATAGTTAAAAAAAAATACCCTATATATATATATTTATATGTATCGCCATAGTTTCATGTATTTCTTTATCCACAGATACGAGAAATTTTCGCGTCGTATTTCTGGCGGTACAGGATACAATAATGAGCCATTACCTGGAATCAATAGGCATCAATTAAGCGACGGCCTTTAAGTCTTAGCAAAAAAGTCTGTAGAAAAATTTGTAATTTTAAATTTTCCATTATTTATTGTAAGAAATATTATGTTAATTATATTATATATTGCATTATGTTCGCTTAACAATTACATATTTTTAATTTGTATAAAGTAAATAATTATAAATCAGTACTATTTTGAAAATGCGAACAGCGCATAAACATTTTACATTTCCTAATGCCAGCGTAGGTATAATATACATATATTGGTATCACAAAGTCCTTATGCTCTAAACAAACAAACAAAATAGCAGAGATTTCACATAACCAAGACAACAGCGACATATGGAAGCCTGCTTTAAATAAATATTTCTTCCATAATTTTGTCACTTTTTTTGCGTTTAACCGATGCTAAGGCATATTTGTTATTTCTTCGACACTAAAATTAACATTACAGACTTTAATTATACATATATATATATGTGTGTATTATAAAGATTTCATAATCGACAGATTATTGACTTTTCGAAAGCATTCAACATTAAACTTGATTTGGTACTTATTCAATATTTTGGTTATATATAATCTTAACGCAGAGCACAGTTTCCACATGTCATTCCTCGCATTTAAAAACGCATTTGCTTTGAAAAGCTTAACTTAATCCGTAGGTTGTTATAAAAAGTAAGTTTTTTTTTCAACATCAGTGCTATTACATAACAACAAAATCGCTAAGATTCCGTTCCGGCTGCACCATATTGGCCGGCATCAATTTCACGAGTTTATTAAAGAGAAAGGCACGACGCCGGCGCAGTTCTGGTGCACGACTGTCATGTGTTCTCTTACTGTTATTCCGTCGACTGTGTGTTATGGAGCAAGCCGAAGACACAGCCGAATCAGAAACGCCAGATACAGATGATGCGGTTGCGCTGCTATCACAAGATTCCATTGAGAGATCCTCCGAGGGATTGGAGCCCTCCGACTGCAGACCCAATTTATTCGAAGAGTCTGCGCATAAATATATAATATAAAATTAATTAAAAGTATACAAAACGAGTTGCACGTTGCCTTAATTGCATACCTTCATCTAGTTGTTTTTCGTCGCTTTCGGCCGTTGTATTTGTGGTATCCGTTTCCAAATTCTCCACCTGCATACTGCTATCCATTTTCAATGACTTGCCCAAAGGCGGTGTGGCCAATGGTGAACGACCGATTGTGCTGCTGACATCGTCGGAGCGAAATAGCAGGGAGGCCAACTTGTGGAACTAAAAAAAAAAATTGTAGGAAAAAATGCTTTGTGAAGAGAAATGCAATAAAATGTTGAAAGTTGAAAAAAAAGTAATTTTTTCGTTTTTGGGTTTATTTTAAATTTTTTTTTCAAAAACTAACTGTAAACTATTTTTTAAAATATTTATGTTAAAAAATTTGTCAAGCTGTAGGTGTTAGAGAGGATCAATTGTGTAACCACTTTTTTTACAAAAAAAAATTTTATGTAAAAAAAGGTTTATTGTTACATGTATAAAATTGTAATTGAATTTTTTTTTGTTAAAATCTTTTCGAATACCTTTTATAATTGTAAGAAAAAAATTGCGCCATTAGAAAAAAATGCGGAGTTTTACAAAATTACGGAAAAAAATTAAAAAAAAAAATTTTCGAAAGTTATATTTTAATAATTTTTTAAATATTTTTTTTTAAATATTTTTTTTATTTTTTTAAATATTTTTTTTATTTTTTTATAATATTTTTTTTAAATAAATTTTTTTCAATAATTTTTTTTTAAGTATGTGAAACTCTGTGTCAATAATGTTCCAAATACTTATACAAAATTATTTTTCTATGTTAAAAGTGTAAAAAAAGGGAAAGGGGAAGAAAAATTTATCAATGGATTTTTTTAAATTAAAATCTGTTTGGGATATTTTTTTAATTGTGAAAAATTATCTGTATAAATAAGTCGTTGTTTCAAAAAAATATGTTAAGATATTAAACAATTTATTTCGAATTTTTTTGTCAAGATTTTTGTGTTACACAGATTAACCGAGGTTTGTTTCAGTGTTCAAATATTTTTTGTAAAAAGTTATTTTTTACATTAAATAAAATAAATATGTATTATGTCTAAATTTTAGTTAATTTTTTTTGTAGTTTTTTTTTTAATCTTTTAGAATACTCTTTTTTAATTGTAAAAAAAATTAGTGGTAGGGAAAAGAATTCAGTGTATAAAAAAAACAATAGCAAAAAAAATGTATCAGGTGAGGTTATATTTTTTGTTTTTGAAATTTAGTTTTTAAATTAAAATTTGTTGGAAAGGTACTATATAAGGGATTGTATGTATGTATGTATGTATAGATATTTCATTTTTTATGTAAAAAAAAGGGATAATTTTTTTATTGAGTTTTTTAAATTAAATTCATTTTGAGTTAACCTTTTGAATTTGGACAAAAAATTGGTGTTAAGAAATAAAAATTTGGTATACATAAATATGTACATACATATGTATATTGAAAAAGTTTTCTAAGTCTAAAATCAGATCCAGGCATTAAAAAAGGCCAAAAAGTGGGGAAATATTTTTTTCAAAAAAATTCTGTTAAAAATATTTTTTTCTAATTTTTCTTTATTTTTTAAAAATAAGTTTTTATTTTTTTAATTAATAAAAATATAATTTTCTTATTCTTTTAATTGTTAAAAATATTTTTCTTAGTTTTTAAATTATTAAAAAATTCAATGTAAACATTTTAAAAAGTGGAACAGAAATAACGAAAGTTTTACAAAATATGTTTGTTAAAAAAATAAATTACTCTAAAACTAATTTTGACACAAATAAATATTTAGGAAAAGATATGTTTGTTCCAAGAGAAAAATGTTAGTATTATATAAAGCAATTGATCTTTTAAAATTTTTTTTGTTAATTTTTAGTTTTAGTTTTCAAAAAATGTCTAAAAAATATTTTACTTACATTATGTAATTGTTCTGGATTCGAGTGATCAATAACTTGCGCAACGTGATGGCGTAAATATTGCATTGCACTCAGCGGATCATTGCGCGCCATTTCTTCGTAGTGCAATTTTCGCACGAGATAACGGCAATGCATCAGTATCTCACTGCGCTTAGGTCTAAAAACAATATTAAACAATTTTTTATTAACACATTTAACAAATTATATTTGCTGTTGTAATACTTTTCCAGCTCCAGTATCCAAAAATCATCCAGACGCATTTGCGGGCGCGACGACTTGCCAGGGTTTCCACCAAACAGATAGTGCGACTGCAAAATACATACAGATTATAATGAATTCCAACAAATATGACACACTACCCACCTTTGCCACATCGTCGTAAACCAACTGATGCGCATAACGTGGACACGGCTCGAGTAGATCATTTTTCGCTGTAGTATTCGACGCTTCGGCATTATGGCGACAAGTGTAAATACGCGACCACATATAATGTTGCAGGGAATATACCCAAAATGAGTTGGAAGCATCGATATGTTGGATATCACGACGGTCTTTCAATTTGCTCAAACTGGAGAAAATATATATTTCGTCGCGATCGCAATCGATTGTGGCGCGCAGCGTATAACCTGGCGACGGTTCATTCTTGGTGTCGCTTGCGTTATTGTGACTGCAGACGCTGCTGCCGCCGGCGCCACCGCAGTTATTATTGTTTTTATTCAGTACTGAAATGGATTGGGTGTCCACGTCATAGGTGATAAAATCATCGATGTCTTCTTTGCCCCGCTGACCGCCATAAATATAAAGTTTGCGATGTTTCTATTGAAAAAATATTAACAATATTGAAAATAAGAACTTTTCATACAAAATGGGTGCAATTTTTTACCGTGTGGAATACCATGCAATGCGTTATACGCGACTTTATCGATAGTACGTCGGCTTGTGCTGCGCTCGGATGATGGCAATCGACGAGTATCTGTGTCCATGTGTTGGTGGCAATGTGATATGAGAATAGACCCGAGTATTCTGGTTCATTTGACGTGCTGTTCGAGACACTGCGTGGTGTGAGTATTTTTCCACCAAACACATAAATATTACGCTTCTCACTATCAATACACATTTGATGATCGTAGACCAATTGTGGACCACCGACTTGGCTTGTATCGTCGCAGATTTGCAGCCATGTGCGTGCACGTGTATCATAAAGGAAGAAGTCGCTCTGTAAATTATTTCCGTTATCTTAAGTTTGCACAGTAATTCTTATAAATAACTAACTTTAATATAGTCTGTAGTGCGTATTGAGTTGTCCAAATAACGGCCTAACATAAAGATATTTTCGCTAACCGAATCGTAGACCATTTTGTGACATGAGCGCGGCGTTGGTCCATTAAACAGCTCTGTCTGTTCGAAAAGCAATGTCCAACTGTTAGTTTTTATATCAAAAACCCACAAATCGCTGAGGTCACGATAACCATCCCAACCACCATACAAATAGACTAAGCGTTTTTTAGTATCCACTACCAATTGATGACCGCCACGATTGCCTTAAAAGTAAAATTCAATTTAGTATACATTAAAAATATCCAAAATTGTATACATCAATAACAACTAACCTGGTTGCGTGGGGCTTTGTGTTAGTTGCATGCGCCAAGTATGCTTATAATCTTGACGATTTAGATACTGGTCCATGAGACCCTCGCCAACACATTTAGTAATCAATTTTTCGGCATTTTCGAAGTCACCCTTCACAACCAAACATTTGTGTAGTTCACTTATAAGCGGGTTTTCCAGCTGCACTTGAGTTTGCTCCTGCAGAGCTTTGAAAGCAGCATCGTAACCTTGCTGACGAAAGTGTTTTAGGCACAATTTAACGATCTCAACTTCGCGTAGCTTTGAAAAGATTTGCATGAAATTACCAGTGTCATTGCCTTTTAACATTTTAATATCTACCATATTGTAGTTCCTCAAGCTGACACTGGTGTACATTGGATCATCCTGTCCATGCAATTCGATATACCAAATACTGAGATTGAAAGTGGGACCCCATGAGAGTAGTGGCACTATTTTTACAAACAGAATGGGTAGTTGCTCCGAACCGTCCTCCGTTTTGCAACGTAAATTGAACACTTCGGGTACATTATCATTTCTAAGACCCCTAAAAAGTAATAAATAATATAAGTTTAAATTAAAAGTTATAACAAAATGTATATCACATAATTTTGTTGACTTACCCTTCTAAAAGTAGCACCATGCGCTCCTCATCGAGTCCACCGAATATACGAAATTTTTTTATATTACACACATGTGACTTTTCAAATTTGCCAAATTTTATCTTTTTAACAATAGCAGGACGCTTTAGCTTCAACGTAAGAAATTGTGGTGGATTATTTGTGTGTGCAGACCAACGTGAGGATTGGTCACTAGGGCAATCTACCAGTATATTTCTAAAAATAAAAACAATAATCAATTAAATTGTGAAACAAAGAAATTTTACAAAAAGTATATATTTTCATTATCACCGACTGCGCAGTTGGCAGTGGAAGCAAATCATATATGTAAACACACATACATACATCCATATGCAAAGTTCAAAAACAGAGGTAATATCGCGCCCAAATGCAATCTAATCACGCAGTCGTGTTTGTGTGTATATGCACATGTTCATATTATTGTGTCGCTTGTTATTTTGCTTTACTTGTTTTTGTATTCTTCAAATTTAAGCAAACTGTATAAATATCTAATATAAAGCGCAAAATTGTGCACAGAGCAGCAGTATTATGCAAATCTTCCCGCTAGCCCTTAGGTAAGCGAAGCTACAACAAAAGTGTTTTTCTGCGTTTACATATGTATGTATGCGACTTACTCAGGAAAATAGTTGGTGGAAAAACTGGAGTAACGGTGGATTTCATAGGTGAGTTTCTCAACCTCAGCAAGTGGAGTTACAGCACCAACACCGCTCTCAGAATCTTTCGAGTTTATTGTTTTATTGCCTGCGGACGTTGTTTCTGATGTGCTATTGTCGTCCCCAACGTTTCCGCTGTTAACTGCAGATATATGCTCCATATTATGTGATATCAGTAAGTAGAGAACAGGTTATCCGTACAAAAAAAACTTGCACAAATGTTGTGAAGAGTAGTTAAACTTCACTTCCTGGCAGTATCCAAGCTGGTTGGCTTCTCTTCGAACCCGACTCTTTTATGCGCTATGGTATAATTCGATGTGTTATTGTGTTTAATATCAAAATTAGGCGTTAATGGTTTGACTAAGAACTGATTTTTCAATTTGTGAGCTGTGCGAGATGATTGCACTAAGACGTATTGTTTGTCTACAAACTCTATGCTTTCAATTTTTTTCTTTCCTCTATTTAACATGCCAAACAGGTGATTATTTGCATTACCTGAGTTCAGAGTTGCCAAGTCAGATTACTGTACCATCCATAAAGACAGAGTTGCATTTGGTGCTTTCATTTAAGGTTACTATACGCAACACACTTGAGCCCGCGATCAATATGCATTCCTTTCGTTAAAAACGATATACAAATAAGCAAATATTTTGAGAAGCGTTCTTCAATCGGTAAACATGTACGAAAATTAAGTATATGAGTAATTTAATTGCACTCGTGTGAATTCATCAGAGTGGCAGGTTTATGTATTTACATATATCTAAACATTTTTTTAAATATTTTGAAATTTTAGTTAATTTTTTTCACAACTCCATTCACTGACTTGATTTATTGAACTTCACTTCAACACAAATGGATCGAAAACACATGTCCGTCATACCATACAGCCACTTTTAACGAAGATTTCGTTGCAAATTAATTGTATAAAATATGTATACGAATACTGAAACATTTTAAGCATAAAATAATAATAATTAAAATATTATATCTGTTCCACGAATTGTTAACGTTAATATATAACAAATTTAAGTTAATTGTCAAAATCCCTAAAATGGCTAAGTGTAAGGCGTTGGCATTACTTATGTGTGTGTATTTATTATAATAAACGTTCTCTGGTATAACTTCATATCGAACGAAGCAGCAACGGAATAAGCGAAAGCAAAATTTCCGAATTTATAAATGGAAAAAGTCTAGGCCTTTTGGCAAATAAAAGTGAAAATATATTACAAAACATAAAATTTCTGTAAATCCGTTGTTAAATTTATAACAGAAAGTGCAATAACGTCTCGCTTAAAAAGTTCACAGTGCAAAAAAAAAAATAAAATAAAAATTGCTATACAAGAAAGTGTAAAGAAATAGACGTGAGAAGTAGAAAATAACCAACAACCCAGGGTGTAAAAAGTGAAAATATAATACATTTCCAATTAGAAACATTTGTGATTTATAAATCTCGGCATATCTTTAGCAACGCATCTAAAACAGCGTAAAAAATGGTAAAATTAAAAAAAATCAAAAAATGTCTAAGTAATTTAATAGTTTTCATTGTCCACAAATATGTACATACAAATGTGTGTTTAGAGAATAGGGTTATCGAAGGGTGAATTTAAGTTTTTTTTTTAATTTGGGTGGCTTTCATATATTTTTATGTTATTTTCTATCTCTTTGCAAGGAAATAATTTAACTTTTAAACTTTTTTGTTTCTAAATTCTTTATTGGGATGACCGAGCGATGACCAAGCACAAGTTGCCTTTTAGTCTACCTTCAGCGCAAGGGTTTTGCAAGGCCAATGGGGCATTGGTTGTGTGCTACCTGCCAAGCAATATAAAGCCACAGCGGCCACCTGCAGAGCGCAAGTATGTACAAACATAAGCACACGTAGGTGTGTTTGTTTGTAAGTCTAAAAAAGAACTTGTGGACATTGGGGGTTAATGCCTTCTGTTTAATAATTGTCCCAGTTTCAAGCAATTTTATTTTACTTCTATATAACATTCAACTTTGATATTAATTCATTGCTCTGTCTTCTGCATATAACTCATCAAATGATATAATATGTATGTATATAAATATTTTTATTTTGCTGGATGAGATTACAGTCCTTGATGATATCAGCAAAAATAAAAAATAAAATTTTCTGTTCAGTGCGATATTAGAATTTTTTTTTAATTTTACTCTTTGGAAAAGTTTTCTTAATATGTACATACATATTTGTCTTAAAAATTTTTCTTCGATTTCAGTTTTTTATTTAATTAAAATTTCGTGTTTAGTAATGATTAATTAAAGTTTGTTTTTATTTCTAGGGTAATGAAACCTCTCTGCCCATGGAGATGTGCTCCAACTGTAAGTATTTTTATTTATTTATATTATTTTTTCTTAAATACATTAATTTATGTAGCTGTGTTTCGTCGAACGGACAAGCAGTAACAATTTTCACAACTAATAACTAATTTCTTTACTATTTTAGTTGATGCTGATGAGATCAGACGTTTAGGCAAACGTTTCCGCAAACTCGATTTGGATAATTCGGGGGCACTGAGCGTAGATGAATTCATGTCCTTACCGGAATTGCAACAAAATCCTTTGGTGCAGCGTGTCATCGATATTTTTGATGCGGACGGTAATGGCGAAGTCGATTTCAAGGAATTCATACAAGGCGTGTCACAGTTTAGCGTTAAAGGTGACAAACTATCAAAATTGCGTTTCGCTTTCCGCATCTACGACATGGATAATGATGGTTACATATCGAATGGAGAGCTTTTTCAAGTAAGTTTGAAATGTGTGTGTACATACTATACAATTAAAGTGTTTTATAGTATATTAAACTATATGCCTAATTTTTCCACATGTTATTAATTATTTTTTAACTTTGTAGGTGTTAAAAATGATGGTGGGCAATAATCTGAAAGACACACAATTACAGCAAATTGTTGATAAAACTATTTGCTTCGCCGACAAAGATGAGGATGGTAAAATCTCCTTCGACGAATTTTGCTCCGTGGTCGGTAACACAGATATACACAAAAAAATGGTTGTTGACGTTTAAGGTCGCTTTCTGAGAACACTATTAATGCTACACTTTATATAATACCAATATATTTTATATGAATTTAAACATTTGTACTTTGGAAACTACTTTAAATTGTTCTTAATTATTATTTGTTTTGTTAAATCTCGAAATAATTGTACACACATTTTTTAAGCAAACTAATATTTTTTAAAAAGTTATGTTGAATACTTTTTTAAAGTTTCTTAAAGAATATTAGCGTGTTTATATAAAATGTTTGCGCGCATATACCAAACATTAAGCTTTGTTAAACAACAACAAAAGCTGTTAATAAATATAGCAATGAAGGCATTGAAAAGAGCACCATATGCATATATATAGAGTATAATTTTAACTAAAATTCATAAACTAAAGCAAATCATAGTGAATACAGCAAATAAAAGCATTACAAACTTCTAAAAACTTAGAATTGAACACGAAAATTCGACTTGAGAGGTTATTAACTAATCTGAGTATAATTACTTATTTCTATATATCAGTCGAACTCCATATGTTAATAAAAAGAGTTACGCTGTTGAAAAGGTTAAAATCATGAACAAGAAAAAATGCTAGAATCACCACCATATTGTAATATATACATGCAAATACACACACATACTTATATGTATGTATATGCATATAAAGCCAAAATATTTATATTGTATATTATGTTGCACCTAGAGCAATTAAAGCTATAATGATTCTAAGAAAAAGTGCAATATCAGAATTTAGTAATTTTTATTAGACAAATTTCTATGAACCGTTATAATTATTAACGCCATATAAATCTCAACTTGCAACTCAGTTATATTTTGAAGTACTTTTCGAAAACTTTTGCCATTTAATTTTGAGATATATGTATATACATACATACATATATATATTTTTTTTAACTAGCTAGTCAAATACATTTCTGTTAATAAAAAATATTTAAGCATATATACTGCAGATTCATATAGGTCAAAACTCACACATACTTGTCACGTACAAATTCGCAGCAATAAAATTAATTATTTGTAATTCTATTAATTTGATTTAATTTTATGCGTTCAAGAAACATAAAAATCTAGATTTGTTCAACATATTCTTTTTATGTCATGCCAACATTGCAAAAGCTACATATACATACATCTATATATATTTCATGGTTTTGTGTCAAACCTCGCACGGTGAAAAGGGAACTGCAGATAAATGAGCAAATTCGTTTGTTTTTCCTTTTAATTTTTCTTTTTTTTTTTAGAATTTAATTTAATTTAATTTTCTTTTTGGTGATTTAATCAATTTTTTTATGATTCATTACTTTTTTTTATTTAATTTAATATATTTTTTGGTTTAATTTATTTTTTGTGTGTAGTTTTTTATTTATTATAATTTTTTTTTTCTTTTAATTTGATTACTTTTTTTCTTTAACTTTATTTTAATTCATATATATTTTTTTATTTTTAACAATTTTCTGTGGGCAAAAATATTTCTTTGTTAACTAATTTACTTTTCTTTGCAAATGAATAAAACTGTCAACAATATGAAACATTTCGAAGCAAAAGTGGAAAAGCGTGCTTAAGTACACGGTGAAGTTACGCATTGAGCGTTTAAAAAACGAAAATAACACAATCTCTTGCAATATTATATGAATATTATATATAAAGAAAAAGAAAAAAAGAATTTAAAAGCAAATAAAATACTTACTGAACATCTTTTTAGCTTTTGTTAAGTACATACATACTTTGTAGCGAATACATAATTAATATAAGCGCTAAAATGGCAATTTGCAAAAAGTCTTTTATGGAGTTTAATAGCGAAAACTTGTAAGATATGTAATTGCCATAATTTTTTCTTAATGCAAATGGAATTAGATAAAGATATAATAAATTGTAGCAAAATAAACAAATTTCTAAAACTAAGATATTATCAAGAAAAATGTGAAATTTTCAAACCCTACATGTTTTTAAAATACATACATACATACAAGTATATATCATGCAGCGCCATATGAAGAGTATGACAGAATCGTTATTTATTTGTTTTTAACTTGGTTTATCGGTTTATAAATATATATAATGTTATGTTTAATACGTTTTTATATGCGAAGCTTAACTTTGCAGCTGTCGTTTAAATAAAGGCAATACTACTTAAATGAATTTCAACACATTTCTTTAGTACAAAACATGTATTTCTTTCGTTTTACACAACTATTTCTGCCTTAACACCATGAATCTGAAAATCAAACAATAAAATTTCACACCAATCTTAATGCTAATTGCAAACTTTTAAGTGCGAGTGATGGTATAAACAAATATTAAAACCAAAAACAAAAAAAATGAATTAATTAAAAACAAGAAATCATAACCTACGTATATAATAAACTTGAAACTGAATTATGCACATTGTAAAAGTACACATGATAATCTTTTTCTAATGTACGTGGAAAAAGCACTTTAACTAATTAATTATTAAAACAAAACAAACAGAAAATCAACATAATAAAACAATTTAATTGAAAAGTTAGTATTTAAGTAAATTCAAAAAGTCATTGGAGCAGGTGGTTGTAATGCAACTTATTGGCATATATTCGTGGTCAACGTTTTGGCGGTTCTGGATGCTGTTTTTGTTATTATTGTGTGTGTTTTTTTTTTTACCGTGAATATGTACCAAACATCAGCGCGTGGCAAACAACAGGAAAGAAAACGTGCATATGTATAAGAAGTGTACTACGCCTCAACACCCAGTAATAAATAACGACGTGATTCATAAGTTGCATTTTTTTTTTTGGAAAAATTAACAAGTTTCAACGCTCTGTTTAATATAATCTCCACCCACGTACCCTTTACAATTCACTCTGTTCTTCCCCATTATCTTTTTCTAGCTTTCTCTTACTACCTCTCGTTCAAGCTCTCTCTACTTAAAAAAAAAAACTTTAACTATCCCTCCCTAGCACATGCCAAAATAAGAAAATAATAAATTTTGACATTTTTGCACTTTGCAATTTTACAAGTTAACTAAAAATTTATTAAAAATAATTATAAACATAAGTATATATGTATGACAACGGTATATAGAGTGCAGCAATATTGCGATGGACAAAGGAAGTTATGACTTTGTATTGTCTTAACAGAACATTAAATAAAATATACGTATATATGCTATATACAGATTATGGAAAAGTGTATAATTGAATGGCAATCATTGGTACAAGCATAAATATGGGTATATACATACTTACATATAATTTATGTTGTCAGTTATTTCGCAAGTTGATTTTTTTTCGTAAATGTCAACAGAAGTTTAAGATTTTCCCCTAAGAAAGGATCCAATGTAAACAAACTCTTTGTTCCCAATTTGAATTGTGACTAGAGCATTTTACTTTTCCACATATTTAATAGAGCTCTTTAACTTTTGCAATAAAAAGAAAATAATTATAAAAGTGATATTCGAAAACAAATTTTTCAGGTCTACAAAAAAGTCTAATCAGTTTTTCACACAAAAATTCCTTTCAAAGTTATACGAAGTCAAAGTTATGCATCAAATGCATTCATACAGTACACCATGTCGTATGAGTAACACCCACGTTCCCACGATAGTCGGGTCTATGAAAACCGGAACGGACCCGGATTGTTATCCGGCCAAGGACTGTCAACTCGGCAGAATTCTGCCGTTACAACAACAACAACAACAGTAACACAGTATGTATAAATCAATTGTATGAATGATGATCATAACAATATATTTTGTTGGGCGAAAAAATTTGAATTAAATGTACTTTTTTTAAATTAAAATAACTTTTTCTCAAAGTTGTAAATTCATTTGCACAATGCAAAATATCCTATGTTTTATACATGGGGAAAAGTCTAATGCTATAGACACGGTTTTAATTGAAAATAAAAAGCTTACGTTGGAGACTTCTTTTTAGGGCACAAGCTTTAACTTAAGGGGCATTTGCAAAAAATGGAATCAACTTGTGAAATAACGGATGCCCTAATATTATATATACAAGTATGTGAATGAATTGAGGACTTCAAATCTTCATGTATAACCGATAAAAAGGTGGAAAAAAAGGATGTGTCTCAAAGCTATAAGAGCTTTCTAAAACCTGGAGATATAAAAGCACCGTTTTAACATACTTCCTTCACATTCTTGATAGATCGATTCCATCAGATATAAAAGCACCGTTTTGACATACTTCCTTCACATTCTTGATAGATCGATTCCATCAGATAGCTTAGAAAGTTGAATTACAGATAGTTCTTTTTCTAGACAGTGAGGTATACATAAATGGAATGGATGCGAATTGACATCCCATCAAGGACGACATTACAAAGAATGTGTGTTCTTTTTCTAGTACAAAAACAACAACACCAAAATTTAAAGATAAGGAACGGTGGGTACATATATTTCATAATTAATTTTGCATCAATAATACCAAACAAATATAAGTACAACATACATCAAAATAATAATAAAAATAACATAAGCGAATGTAGCAAAAAGTAGGAGTACACATCTAGCTGGAAAGAGGTTTTGTAATAATTCTCAATGTTCCAGGCTATTATTTCTCGCAGTGTAAACAGCTGACACCAGGCGATTAATCAGCATTTATCGATACATTACTTTGAATATTTTGTTTACTATAGGTAAGGGTTGAAAGGTTTTAAATGTTTAACCAATTCTGTTATTTCACAACTATTAAATGAACCCGCGAAATGAGTAAATCAAGGGAAGACGCAGGAGTTTTCTCAGTACGGCTGGTCATAGCGGATTTTTACATGGAGAAGCCGATATTCGGCTTTGATCCATGCTATTCGGAGTTTCGCGGCAAGGAAATTAAAAGAGTCGGTTACATTAGCATTTCTCTTACATTGTAATATTTGTGAAATTCATACTTTCCAGGTGCCAATAATTAGAATTTTTGGATCTAGCGCTGATGGACGCAAAACGTGCATGCATGTACACGGTGTCTTTCCATATTTCTATATACCGTACGAAGCGAAGGAGTTCGAGTCGTTGAATAAAGCAATCTACCAAATTACCAGTAATGTAGACAAAGCAATTAACGTCTCATTGGGACAGGCGTGTTCTAGCGCGATACATGTATTTAAAGTGCAGCTGGTCAAGGGCATGTATGTGTATAAAAGCAGACTCTGTTAATGGATTTTACAATTAATTAATATTTATGTCTCATATTTTAGTCCTTTCTATGGATACCATCGCGGGGAACATCAGCTCCTTAAAATCTACATGTTTAATCCTCGATTTGTAAGGCGTGCAGCCAATTTGTTACAAAGTGGCGCCGTTATGAATAAAAATTTTCATCCCTTCGAATCACACGTGCCCTATATTCTACAGTTTATGATTGATTATAATTTATATGGCATGAGTTTTGTTCATATACCGCTCGATGTTGTTAAATTTCGTCAAACTGGTGATGGTCAGAATTCCACAGGTAAGATTTTGTTTCTTACTCAATAAATTTAGGCGCTGTTATTTGTATGATTTTTTTTACCAGTAGAATCCCACATTCCTGCGTTGAAGCAAGCACAGTTTCTTGATCCAACAGTGGCGAAAAAACAGTCAACTTGTGAATTTGAGGTGGATATCGGATCTAATTTCATATTGAACCGTTTTCAACTCGCTTTGCGCAGTAATAACAGCAAAACACATTCGAATCCTGGTATCGAAGCCATTTGGAATGATGAACGTTTGCGTAGACAGAAGATGGCAGAGAGACCTGATGTTGAGAAGGTAATGTAATTTGAGTATGTCTTGTGATTAAAGATTTGTGAAAGTCAATTTATTGGTAATGCTTAATTTAGGTACCTGATTTGGAGTTGCCGCCCACTCAGGAGCGTTGCAATGTACAACCAACTGAGAGCGATATATTCCACCGTACTGTCTTGCAAAGCAAATTAATGGCATTAGAATTGGCTGCAACGGGAAATGTCGGTCAAGCTGATCAATCCATGAATTTGACGCTACAAACAAGTAGTGCCAATTTTACTTTATTAAATTCTGGTGATAAAGAACAGGTGAG